TTGTGCTGTGCTGATATATTGATGTCTTATTTAATTGCTAATTGAGATGAGCATTCATCAGAGATATGTTCCTGTGTTATCACTAGTAGGATTATTTTCCATATTATTTGGCATCTTCCCGTGTAGCAGTATCACCATAAAACAACGTTCTTAAACTTATTCGATAATTAGGGATTGTAAGTATGACTGTTCGACGACTATTGTATTGAATCAGTGTGTCATATAGTGGTGACTGAATCATTTGAATAATTTTGATGGAACTGATTAAAGATAAAAGATGGTGCGTCAATGGCATCACATCCGCAAGATGTGCTCTTTTTACCGACAAAACTTTTGAGCGAAGTGCAGGCAAGAGAATTCGAAGCAGTTGCTGAGAAAAAGGACGATAGTGAGGTTGGATTGTTTGTCGATTCGATGCATTCACTCTCATTCACGAATCGATTTCATTTCAACATTTCGCTTGTTAAATAGAATATTGATGGGTATATTTGGATAGGTGGATAATTGTGGAATGAGTAGTTGGTAGTATTTAGTGAATGACTTTGATTTTAGATGTTGAAGAAAGTTGAGGAGCAGGAGGACGATGAAGATGATGATATGAAGTTTATTGAGATCGAAGAAAAACCGGTGGATGTGGCCAATATGTACAAGGTATCGGTGCTGTTTTTGCTTTATTGGTATTATTGTGGTTATTTATTTAATTAANGAGAGGAAGATTAAACACGAATAAATGAGATGATGAATAAATGAATGGCAGGCACGTGTATAACGAGTAGTGTTCAGATAAGAGGTAACATCAGATTGGTTTTATTCAGATGAAATCAATCGGTTCGAGTTCGTATGCACTCTGCAATCACGGTCGTTTGCCGGTGGACAGTACACGAAATGGTATCGTTAAGGCAGTGAACAGGAATGCTGCGAATCAACTGATTAAAAGATATAATATTCAAGTGAAGTGCTCTTCGTCATCTTCGTACAGCAATAATTCAGAGCAACTGATCAAAAATGGGTTCGTTGAATGATTTAGTTCAGTTTTTTGTTGATACTCTTGTTAGGTTTATTACTGCGTTTTATTAGTTTCATTTCTGTTCATTATTTTCGTTGATATTATTTTCATTATTAGTGTTTTTGTTCTTGTTATTGAGATTAATACATGGTACATTGGTTCAGTAAGATTTTATTGTTATTATAATCATTATTGTCGCCTGTTTCGATTGATAATTATATTTGTGATAATAATAGTAATAGTAATAATAATAATAGCAGTGGTGATCTTACTGATATAATAATGATAATATCACTATACAAAATTCAGGAATGACGTCTGTATGGAGTGCATGCAGGATGTGAAGCGTGAGATTGAGTTCGTGTCAACATTTGAATCGAAGGAGAAGTTGGCACGGCAGTTGCTGAGGGAAAAATCGAAAAGGTTATTCTTTGAACGTTCGCATATTTGAGTTGACTGGAATAGAGGAACACAAATAAATGTGGGCCGTGAAATGCTGATTGATGACGGATTTTGATATAATGTTGGTGATTGTTTATACACCTCTTTGTGAGTTGATGGTCAATATTCATAATTAAATGTGCAGTTTTAGAATGTAGATTGGTTATGTCTGAATGTTTTGCTGGATCGACCGATGGTTTCGTGGTTGTGAATCGAAAAAATTGAGTTGTTATGGTGGATGAATGAACGAATTGATACGTTTAGGTATTACCATGCGGATGACTGTTATTGGGTATCCGTTCGCAGTCTGCAGCAGTATCGCAGACTGGTGATACGCGCTCGAAAGGAACGCGAATATCCGATTATGGAACCGACTGAAATCACTTTCTCGGGCTCAACATCGCAACCCAATGACGGCATGCATGTGAAGGTTGGTTGCAGTTGTTGATGGTGTTATTATTATTATT